ACAGAAGGAAACAGAGACTCACTGAGACACACCCTCTTCTGAGACTAAGACTAAACAATCCAGGTTTCTGGCTCCATCTTATGGCCATTGGAGAAACCACACTCAATTACAGATTGAGTATTCTCTTAAAGATACAGTATTAAAATGTCTATCCTGGTTTATATATTTCCAGCCCAAATAACTGTTAGGTGACTTACATTCCTAACACTATGGGCTGGCTTTCATGCCTAAGGCAGGACTAGAACTCCCATTCTCTTGGTGATTGGCCCAAAGTCGCCCAGCTGGTTTTCATACCCAAGGCGGGACTAGAACTCCCATTCTCCTGGTGATTAGCCCAAAGGCACGCAGCTGGCTTTCATGCCTAAGGCGGGACTAGAACTCCCATTCTCCTGGTGATTGGCCCAAAGTCACCCAGCTGGCTTTTGTGCCTAAGGCGGGACTAGAACTCACCCTCTCCAGGTGATTGGACCAAAGTCACCCAGTTGGCTTTCGTGCCTAAGGCGGGACTAGAACTCCCCGTCTCCTGGTGATTGGCCCAAAGTCACGCAGCTGGCTTTCCTGCCTAAGGCGGGACTAGAACTCCCGGTCTCCTGGTTTCTAGCATGTTGCCTCAACCACTAGACCAAACTGACTCTGGGAAGCCAATGGTTGACTTCCTAACCCCCAATATCTAAACCCAGTTTGGCCTGGCGGTGCATCTTGTGAAATCCCAGATACGTTGGGGAGGCAGCTACCGAATGCAAAGCGAACCGTCCGTTGGTGAGTTCAAAACGGACCCCGGGGACCCCAGTTCAAATCCCGTTCGGCCCCGAATAATTCCCTCCCAATCATTTTTGTGGGTTGCTTTCAACACAAAAGACGCTAAGCCAACAGACTCCCGTTAGACACACTTACTCCTTCACCAGAGTTTGCAGCTGCTGCTTGAGAGATTGCTGTGCAGTCTCCAGGAGTTCCTAGGACGAAAAAAAGAGCACCTTTAAGCAAGGATAGGATAGGATAGAAGAGAAAATGCAACAGAAAATAGAATAGAATAATGGAATGAATAGAATAGACTAGAGCAGAACAGAAAATAGAATAGACTATTAGAATACAATAGAATAGGAAATAGAATAGAATATTAAGATAGGATAGGATATGGTAGAATAACAGAAGGGACCTTGGAGGTCTTCTAGTCCAGCCCTCTGCTTAGGCAGGAAAATTTACACCACTTCAGACAAACGCCTATAGTTGAAACCAAGTTTATTTTATTTTACACCCTTATCATAAAATATAAAAAGTAAATGCAGTAAAGTATCGTGTATTTTATTTTATGGCGTGTTTCATTCTACTTTACTGCACATTTTATTCTATTCTATTGCATATATATTTTTTTTTTGCCACAATTATTAAATGAATCCTATCTTGAATTCTCCTGCTGGGAGGGTTTGTTTGATTTCTTTGAGAACCGAAAGGCCACATCGAGGCAACAATACTGAGGGGCGGGGAGAATGTTTTATTGCCATTTTTGGGGCGGCCTCTTTCGAGTTTTCTGTCTTGTTTACAGGGTTGGGGTTTCCTGGTGGTCTCCCATCCTTAACAGCTAGCAAAGATCAATCCACTCACTTCTTGCTGTTCCATCATTTTGCTCAAACTCTGGGAAAATTTTTCCAGGCACTCCTGGGCGGGGAAAAAAAAGGCAACAAATCACCAGAGAAACATCGGAATGAGGAATATTTGGTCTAATAATCGCTTTAAACCTTTTTTTTTTAATTTTGTTTCTCGGTTTGGGTCAAACTGACATAGTTTTCAAACCCGACTGGGGTTTATTTTCCTCCTGGGCCGAACTACAACTCCCATCGCACGCAGGTGAGAGGACATGGCGGGTTGAGCAAACAGACTTGGCATTTAGGAACTTCCGGGGCCCGGCTGATGTCGGGTGCCAGGCACTTTACACATGCTCAGAGGCAGTGTGGGCAAGCAAGAGGAATGTTGCCCTCAAAGGGACGTTGACTTTTGCACTTTCGTCTTCCTAGATCTATCTAATCTATCTATGAATCTATCTATCTATCTATCTATCTATCTATCTATCTATCTATCTATCCATCCATCCATCCATCTATCTATCCCTCCTTCCATCCATCCCCATCCGTCCATCTATCCCTCCCTCCCTTTATCCATCTACCTATCCCTCCATTTATCCCTCCCTCCATCCATCCATCCATCCATCCATCCATCCATCCATCCCATCTATCTCTCCCTCCCTCCATCCACCTATCTATCTCTCCATTTATCCCTCCACCTATCC